TCTAATTGAAATTATAGATATACCATGAAGAATTTTTCAGAAAGTTGCAAATTTGTGAGTCTGAATCTTCTCCATTACTTATTTGGGTGAAAAGTTATGAAACGGTTGTGCTAACTGAGCTAACTTGAGGTTAAGCCGGCACATCACCATTATTTTTTCGCAACCGTTCGATTAAAATACTTTGGTTGGTGACAAAGAATAGTTAAAAAGTCTACTGAAAGTACGATTTTGATACGGAATAATTGATAAAGAAAGTTTTAGTGCGTTTTCGGGCATACAGGGTGTCCCTAAAACGAGCCCTAAAAGGTCTGTAGAAAATCTCAACACATTCCTGGGGCAAAAATAGGCCAATCGAATAAATCGCTCCATTTCCGACATACAGGGTGATAAATTTAAAAAATAAAAATCCAATTTCTCAAAATGTATGATGTTGAACGTCTCACTTAGAAAATTGGTAGCCGGGGGCTTTTTGAGATGTGAAACCCGAATACGGACACATTTTCACTGTAGCCATTAGAGGGCGCTTACATATGCAAATCTTATGATTTAGAATGAATATTTGCAAGCAAAAAAAAGGTACACTTGTGAGTATTCGCTAAAGTAAGACGTATTTGCGATATTACGGTTTTCAATGTTCGATGCCGCACCGGAATATTCAAATTATTCTGAATAAAAAATGTTTGCTTTCATCGTCGTGGATGTGATTTGGTCAGTGAATGAGCAGTGCAAAAATGGATTTTTCGAAATACTTTCTTGGATTGTGTTATCGATTCTTTTTTTTATTAACCACCCTGTATCTCGGGAACGGAGCAATCTCGGTCGGAGGTGAGTTATTTAAATCGGCTTATTTTGACCTCAGGACCATGTGCCAACATTTTGTACAGACCTTTAAGGAACACGCTGTATATTGGTGTCTTCAATAGCTTCTCAAACGTCTCCAACGATAGAGTGTACACACAACAATTGACAACAATGTAAAGAGGCTAAAAATTATTTTTTTTTATTTTTCTCGACAGATATAGATTTTACTTCAGGGGGTGAGGATGCTTTCAACCCTTCTAAAATGTCTTGAGTTTCTTTGATTACCGAAAAAAGGGTATACATTCGAAATGCACATCTGTAAAATTTCATCCAATTTGTTTCACTCAATTTTTAACAGCTTACAAAAATGTGTTTTTTATGTATATAGACTTTGATGAAGTCGTCTCACGGACAAGCGGTACATTTTTTATACAAATAAATTGGGTTCAATCAACTTATTTTGACTTATATCGACTAGAATACATGGTCTTATGTTGTGAATAGAAAAAATCCAGAAAAGTTGTATGTTGATGAAAATTGTAATTGTGGATTTTAACACTCTTTAGTCCAAGCCACATTCATCAAAAATCTGTATCTAACTAGGTACAAATGAAACAAAAAGTGCTTGATACGGGTTTTGTCATTTCAAAATTAATATAGTAAAAACGTATATAAATACTTGAAAAATGATATATTGGTATTATTTAGTTTTCACAAATCCTGTAGAAAGTGGCAGCCTCCATGAATACATGCACGGCAGCAACTTCTTATTTGAACTATAGGGCTCTTTTTTCTTTCAAGATTGTTTACCACTCTTTAGTCAATCCTAATTCTTTCTTTGCGGTGTATCATATACTCAGTTTGATTGAATACTGCAAAGGTGCACAGTAAAATAATATGTGCAAAGCAAAAATTCGTGACCACTGCAAACCCCTCTTCATTAAACACTGAATCTTAACAGTTTATGTTATCTTTGTCATGGAAACGGTGTGCTTGATTGAAAAACATATAAGCAAATTTGACATTTTCTCTGCACACCACGCCAATTCCATCATCGGCTCGAGTAAAGATGGATTTACGAGTCGATTCATGAAGCACAATTAAAACCAAACTTCAACTTGAACTATAAACTCGAATATTATAAAAACATTATCTTTCATCGGATATTATTTTATGCAGCAATATTAGCTCGAATATTAGCAAAAACTACCCATGTGTATTCAGTGTATAAAAGCAAAGATGCAAATGGCAAATGAGATCAATCAATGGGTCATCCTCCTTTGTCGTTACAACAAAAATCTCGATAAATACCGGGTGACACAGGGTATCAGGCCACCCCTGTAACTTCTGCATTCGTCAACGGATTTTTCTGAAATTCGGTACAGTTATATAAGCAACTATTTCGGATTTGATCACATTAGAATCCAATATGGCGGACTTCCGGTATTTCTGGAAATGCCAGCAACTTTGTTTTTTCAAATGAAACACCCTGTATATTTTTACATATTCAAGTTCAACAGGTCGAAACAAGTGCAATCTTTATTTCAAATGTCATTTTTTCGAAAAAGATTAAATTAAAATTGTTTTTTCATTTTACCTCGTGGATATATGAGATGTGGTCAAGACTATTCACAATGAGTCACACATAACAGAAGAACATAATTTTTTCTGAAAAATTATTTTTTGTGTCACTTATCCAGGAATCAATTCAGCCACATCACTTTTTGATCAAAAATTATTTTTTTTCAAATGGAACCCCTATGGGCCACCTATACCCGTTTCTCTAGAACATACATTGGAACAAAATGAAATATCATTTTTGTTTTTCGGTGCAGTAACAAATTGTATACATCCAAAAATCAAAAACTAGTTTATGAATTTCCTTGCAGTTAGAATAATTTTTTAACTAGGTAGGCTGTGGAATAAATTACATTTGACATCAAGATTGCACTTGTTTTGACCTGTTGAACTTGAATATTCAAAAATATACAGGGTGTTCCATTTGAAAAAACAAAATTGCTGGCATTTCCAGAAAAACCGGAAGTCCGCCATATTGGATTGTAATGTGATCAAATCCGAAATAGTTGCTTATATGACTGTACCGAATGTCAGAAAAATCCGTTGACGAATGCAGAAGTTACAGGGGTGGCCCGATAGCCTGTGTCACCCGGTATACTTCACAAGAAAATAATTTTGGCAGAAAGCATCAGGTAAAAGTGTCGAAAAATCCAGAAACATAAATCTTGATTAGGAGGTTATGAAATTCTACGCCAAAAGTTGCGCAGTAGTCACAAATATTAACATTTACAATAGAAAGTTGAAATTTGGCCAACTTGATGGTTCAAATTTAGTTATGAATTATCTGCATAAAATTAACCATGTCTAACAAGAGGTTCAACTTTTTAGTTCGAGTTGAAGTGTAAATGTAAGTTCGAGTTTAGTATGTGCTGCATAAATCCACCTTTCGAAATTCAGTAATTTTATAACGGCTGTAAGTTGTTCAAACTGTTGCCAAAATACATCAAAGTAGGATCCAATAAAAAATTCAAACAGAGAATAAAACCCCGCTTTTTGGATAAACCCTCTGTTGTCCCTATTATAGTTCACAAGAGTTTTTTAATACATATACAATAATACATACACACACTGGCACAATTAGGGGAACGGGCAAAATTTACACTAAGTTTGACATCAATTTTCTTTCGAACCGATCGCTCGATTCAAATTTTTTTCTTCACGAATTGTATAGCTTCATTCTTCACGAATACATCTGAGGAATGATTACCTTCAAACGATGAGTGTTTCTATCATATACAGGGGTGTAAAGAAAGTACGGATTTTTCGGTATTTTTTGAGACATCCTGTGGACTGAACCACTGATAATTGGAACGATTTCTCAACTTCAAATTGAAGCCCAATCTATTCCGAATATTTTCGTTTTTTATTCATCTTGATATCTCAATTATTCAAGAAAATACAGAGTTTCAAAGGAAAGGTGGATATTGGTATCAATTTTACCACCTCGAAACTCAAATTGGATCTGAAAATGTGTCGTTTCTTGACTAACCTATAACCTAACCATGACTGAACCTATGCCATAGGAGACAGAAGCAGTAAAATTAAATTGTTTATTTTGTTCACCTCGGCGATAATAGTCTTTCCCTGCCATCTATCGAATTGATGCAGATGCGGCTCTCATATGTTAAAAGAACATTGGCCCACTGGTCATTTTCAATCAATGCTACAGCCCTCGCCACATCAGTAGGAGTCAAATCTCTCATGTTGAATTTTCATCAATCAAATTCATGAATTGTGAATCGCTTGACTTTGACAATAATTAATGACATAAACAAAATAGCCAACGTTGATTAACAAAAATAGCATTTCACCAAAAGAACATTGAAGCAACTTTTATCACCCATGCATATTCATGAGAGTATTCGTATATGTGTCTTTAAACAGTAAACCGATAGGTAAAACTGTGAACAATTCTCATCTTGAAGTAAAAATCCTCACAAAAACCAGTTGAAAAACGACACGTTCTCCCCAGTTCGAGTTTCGAGGTGGTAAAATTAATACCAATATCCAGCTCTTCTTTGAAACTCTGTATTTTTTTGGATAATTGGGATATCAAGATGAATAAAAAACGAAAATATTCGGGATAGATTGGGCTATGATTTGGTGTTGGGAAATCATTTCAATTATCAGTGGTTCACTACACAGAATGTCTTAAAGAATACCGAAAAATCCGTACTTTCTTTACACCCCTGTATATGATATAAATATGAATCGTTTGGAGGTGGTTATTCCTCAATGTATTCGTGGAGAATGGAGCTACAATTCGTGAAAAACAAATTTGAATCGAGTGATCGGTTCGAGAGAAAATTGATGTCAAAGTTAGTGTAAATTTTACCCGTTCCCCTAATTGTGCCAGTGTGTGTATCAACCATAAAATCATTTAAATGGGAATCGAGATAGGAATGTTTCAATATGTTGTGATGTGTCCCTTAGTCCCTTATGAACTAGCTTCCAAGGGTGTTGAAAATTCAAATCGATTCAAAAATGTTGTGGCGTTAGTAGCGATTTCCTCTCAGAGCTAGGTCTTTGAATTTTTACCTATTATCTCACTAACGATGATGATATATTTCTTTCGTATTGAAACAACATCCAAAAGGTCCACTATAAACGAGTATACTCACTTTTTCTTTTTGATCGTTTCCATTTTTACTGGCATGGTTTCTAGTCTACAGCTAGCAAAAACTCGATAAAGAAGGTAAACACACAAGTCAGCGACACGATAAGAACGTACAATAATAATTAAGTGATGTTTGATGTTTGAATAAACGTCACCAATTATGTATCCAAACGTCACTGACCAAAAATTATTATATGTGGCTGGATATACAGTGTGTGTCGTACACAGTTGCATCGGGAAGATTCGTATTTTGAAAATGATGTCCAGCTACAGTATCATAAATGAAGGTGAAAAAAAAACGGTTGACTTTCCAGTTGGTTTTCGCGCCACTTCTTTCTTTGTTTGCGGCACGTGCACCCGGTCAATGCCGTTAACGAAACACGAAACAGTCGTACAGCACAGCTCGCGACAACCACAGCACACTACTCGCGATACAATGCTATTTCTGACTGAGTGACTGGACTGGACGTTGAATGTTCTATGCTCGAATGAACGGTGGGACTAATTATTATTCTCTGTGGACTGGGAAAGAGATACGAGGGTACTGGTTAGGTACATATATCAACAAAAATAATAATACATTTACCAGTGACAATAACCATTAGAACAAGTTTGTGTTTATTTTTGCCATCCTAAATCTTCTTTAATCTACAGTGCGGTCATTTAAGGGTGCAACATATGGGAATCATTTTAATGAATTGCACCATCAAAATACAGACAGTGCCGAAAGTTGGTGCATGTTCCGTAATCATTTTAGGTGCGCTCAGAATGGTTGCAACAGCATACACTCATACAGGGTATAGGTCAAAAAATATAAAAATTGCTCAAGAGTAAAGTACCCTTATTTCAGAAAATTTTGCAAAATGTTATTGAGAAAAGTTGTTTACAATTGAAAGTAATGCCTTAGTAGTAAGGCCTCCTTAGAAATTGTTTAATTTTTAAATTTTTTTCGTTATTAATTTCCAAATTTGTAATTTTCTTATATTCACCCTGCACACTTTCATAAGTGGATCATAACAAAATCAGTTCAGCATACCTTTGTTCAAATTCGAGCATATTTTTTGTTCAACTAACTTGTTTTAATTTTCTTGGGGAATCACAAACTTTATGTTGCAACGATATTCATCTTAAATTTCAAATTTCGCAAACTATATTTTTCACAAGGTAAAACATCATTCATGATAACATGCATGTTTGAAGAATTTCATTAAATGTGAACATTTTGTATTTGAAATATTTTTTTTTTTAAATAATCACGGATACTCAAGTAACAAAATTAATGGGGGTTGATCTCGGGGTTGATATGAAACTATGAAACATTATTATTAATAAATATTAACAAAATAATCAAAAAGATACGATGTTTTCTATTGTATTTGAAAGCAGTGCCGATGGTTTTGACAATTTTTATCGGCTTAATTTTATTATAACTTAACCATTATCAAATGTGTGAAGAAAGAATTATATACGTGTCTCTGTGTGTCCACCTTCTCGTTCAATCTAATTGTCCGATCATAAAATTCACAAAGAGTAGATCTCAACGCCTTTGCATTTCTGCAATGAAATCGTATCGAATATTCAAGCTCCTCAGAATTATTGAATGGTCGATCCATGTAAGCCTTTTGCTTTAAATATCCCCATGAAAAATCTAATGTTGATGATGTATCACCTAGTTAAAAATATGGTTTGCGAAATTTCAAAATAAAGTTGAATATCATTGCAACGAATATAAAGTTTGTGATTCCCTGAAAAAATCTAAATCCAAGTTAATTGCACAAATATGCTTGAATTTTAACAAAGGTATGCTCAACTGATTTAGTTAAGATTAACGTATGAAAGTTTTCAGGGTAAATATAAAAAAAAAATTGCAAATTGGGAAATTATTCACGAAAAAAATTTTAAAACTAAAAAATATCTTAGGAGACCATGTTTTGGTATTTAGGCATAACTTTCAATCGTGAACAACTTTTCTCAATAACATTCTGCTGAATTTTCTGAAATAAGGGTACTTTACTCTTGAGCCATTTTTATATTTTTTGACCTACCCTGTATGCTTTTTGACTTGCAACCATTCTAAGTACACCTATGATTATGATTACCGAACATGCATCAACTTTCGGCACCAACTGTATTTTGGTTGTGCAATTCATTGAAAAGATTCCCATATGTTGTACACTTAAATGACCACACTGTATAGGTATCTAGACGAGCCTCTGAATATTAAATGGATCAATGAATTGTAATGAGTAATGGGAATCTAATTCGACTGTTTTTTTCAATTTTAATATTATATCTATTTATACGAGAAGTTGCTCTAGAATATACAGGCTGTTCAGGAAGGTTGATGTAAACCTTATAGGAGCTGACAAGAGACGTCACTTAGAACTTATGAGTTCATAAAAAATTAATCATCCTTACGCGTTCGAAACTTTTCAGAGCTTTTGTAATACAAGCTCTTGAGAATGGGGAATATTGCGTTGGGCGAATATGTAGAAGAAGGTCACAGATCCAGATCACGTTCAACGTGTGGGATAAGGAGAATACCTCGGAGAATACATATCAGTAACATTCAAAAATGGAGGAACAAAGTAAACATATCTCAACTGATATCACGAATTTCAAAAAAAAAAGAAAAAAGAAAATGGTTAATATCTCATGAACCTGGTTTGAGTGCCACACATTACCTATAGGTCACCTGTTAGCTGATAGAAGGTTTGCATCGATGATGATTGCAACAACTTGCAGGGCACTCTGTTAAATCAAAGACGAGATCAATGTGGTCTCCTTGAGATTGACTACCTATATTCTTGAAATTCACATTCGATAGACAGATCAAAACCTTGTTGGTAAGCTGAGTAATATTTTCATTTCATACTTCTACTTCGAATTTAACCGAATAACACTCTGGCCAGGTGTGGTTGATATGAGATTAGTGAAGGGGTTCTATGAATGTTTATAGCATCTTAAAGCAGTTATTGTAATTACTGACATCAACTATCTAGACCGATATATGTCATATCCCAGCAACCCGAAAATATCATTCAAATTGCTCGCCTGAAAACGCTTCTGCTCCATGCGATGGAACTTCCAAACTGTCATCATGGCATCCGAGTCATGTCGCTTAGTGTTCGGAAACATAAGTAAGAGTGCGGTTTTTTATGCAACGATCATTTAATGATAGCTATTAACACACGAGCACAAGCTGAGTTACGATACGAGCCGAAGGATATGATATAATTCACCTACTGAAGTATCAAAGTGCTACCAGCGCCCTTTATGAGCAGTCACAAAATAAATGAGTTAAAAAATCGTATTTCCCATGTCAGAAAACCTGGAACCACTATTAAATGTTATGTTCCTGCTGTTGAATAGCACGCAGCCGAGGGGTAAATCACGGCGAAAAAAATTGTACACCAAACTTCCCATGGGTCAAAACTTCCCAAACTTCCTCGAACTTCCTCGAACTTCCCCAAACTTCCTCGAACTTCCTCAAACTTCCTCGAACTTCCTCAAACTTCCCCGAACTTCCTCAAACTTCCCCGAACTTCCTCAAACTTCCTCGAACTTCCCAAACTTCCTCGAACTTCCTCAAACTTCCCCGAACTTCCCAAACTTCCTCGAACTTCCCAAACTACCTCGAACTTCCTAAACTTCCCGAAACGTTTCAAACGTCACAAACCAAGTACTTATAAGCAATTTAGTATTGATAGATTCAAAATTTTTTCCTTTTCTTATGGTAGGTAGATATATATATATATATAGGATTGTCCGGTTTGTTATACAAAAAATTCAACAGTGTGGTGTTCTCGTTGAAATAATGAAATACTTTTATTACATTCATTATACATAATCTTCATTTCATCTCATAGAGCGTGAAAAGTTTAGTATCTTGGGTAACTTTGTGGATTTATCTCAAACCGTTTCGAACTTTTCATCAAAAAACAATATTCAGACTCTAAAACACCCTATATATATCTCGAAAACGAAGCGTTTGAAAGTATATGTTTATATGATTTTTCGAATAATTTCAACCGAGTACAACACACTGTTGAATATGTACCTACGTATATGTATAGGTGGTTACCTAAACTTGAAAGTACTTTACTGGAAGGAATTTGAAACTGAATGTCATGAGTATTAATCTACCGACAGAAATCAACTATCAAACTAATTATTACATATTTTATGCAATGCAGGTTTTCTGTACCACGAATTTTTAGGTATGTATAGGTACTATTGACTTATCCGAGGACAGCTTCTGTTGAAAGTTCCGAAATAATAATGAACTCTTTGAAATTATGTTTAATATTATTTCCATATAGGGTGTTTCATAGTTGTGTCGACAAAAGCCTTGACAAGAGCCTCAAGCAATAACGAAAAACCCATAATTCTTTTAACTTGGACACCCTACCCTGTATCTCGGAAACGAAGCATTTTCGGAACCATTTTCATATGAACTTGATTTCATAATTTGTTGAGAGGAATCTCCCCTAGGCTTTTTTCACCACAGCTCTATATATCCTGAGATAATAAGTTTCTTGCATTATCTAGCCAAAGATTTTTCCCGACCGTCTCCGCCCAAACGTTCACAGACATCCTACAGCTTGCTTGGTCTTTCGGAAACTTCCCAAACATCCTCGAACCTCCAAAACTACCTGAACATCACGAAATGTTTCAGACTCCGCCGAACTTCCCAAACTTCCCCAAATCACTCAAACTCCCTCGAACTTCCCAAAACTTCCTCGAACTTCCCCAAACTTCCTCGAACTTCCCAAACTTCCTCGAACTTCCTCGAACTTCCCCAAACTTCCCAAACTTCCTCGAACTTCCCCAAACTTCCTCGAACTTCCCCAAACTTCCTCGAACTTCCCAAAACTCCCTCTAACTTCCCAAACTTCCTCGAACTTCCCAAACTTCCTCGAACTTCCCAAACTTCCTCGAACTTCCCAAACTTCCTCGAACTTCCCAAACTTCCTCGAACTTCCTAAACTTGTCGAAACTATTCGAACTTCTCAAACCAGGTAAGCAAATTAGTATTGATTGATTCAACTTTTTTTCATTTCCCCATGGTAGGTAGGTATAGGTAGGTTCAGTTAGCTGCAAAGAAAATATCGCGGTTGGATGGTGTTAGCGCTCTTATTGCAGAAGTGACTAGATAGGTGCCATCACCGCCCTACTGCGACATGTTCATTGCATCTGACTGTACGTATATGTATAGGCAGGTATAGGTGAGTATACCTTAACTCAAAAGTACTTTACTAGAAGGGACTTGAAACTGAATGTCATGAATATCTGCATTGTAATTCAATACAAAATGAAATTAGACTTACAACTTTGAATAATCCACCAACAGAAATCAACCATCTAACTAATTACCGATCTAATTACCTATGCAATGCAATTTTTCAGTACCACGAATTTTCAGGTAGGTAGGTATTATTGAGTTATCTA